TAGAATCCGTAATTTGCACCATGGAACTGCCTGTGGGTGTGAAATGGATTCTTTTTGGATCCAGTATAGCCAGAGTTTTGCTCCAGGAGTTTATCTGACAGGCTACAACTGCTGTTGTGTATTCATTCCATGCTCCTGGCCTGTGCTAGTCTTAGGTCAAGGTGAAACTCAATGAAATATTTAGCTTGAACAGCTGGCTTCTCCTTACAAATCTGCCTCTGCTGTGCTGAACTACTTGCTAAGACAGGTAGAGCCCCAGGGTGGTAAACAGCAGTCTTCAGGAATACAAAGACTGAATCAAAGCTGTGCGATGAGTGCAGATGGGATGGTTTGCTTTTAAGGACTTGAATGGGTCACTAAAATGGAAATGAAATTCATGTAGGAAAACTGTGAAGAGAAGAGCCTGAAAGCTGCTGGAGAGGAGATGATGGAGATGATGTGATATGGAGGAACAGATTTAGACCAGCTGAACTCACACGTAGTAAGGAAGTGTATAGGAGGTGGAAACAGGGGCAGGAGACCCAGCAGGATGATAGAGCTGTTGTTTGATCTTGCAGGGATAGGGTTGGGAAAGCCAAGGCCTACCTGGATTTGAATCTGGTGAGGGGTATAAAGGGCAACACAAGAGGATTATTCAAGAACATAAACAAGGAAGACCAGGGAAAATGTGTCCCACTGCTGAATGCAGAGGATGATGCAGGACACAGAGAAGGCTGAGGTACTCAGTGCCTTCTTTGCTGGTAAGTCTTTATTCAGCTGTCTTTACTGGGCTTGCCAGTACAAGAAAGATACAGATGAACTAGAGTGAGTTCAGTGCAGGGCCACAAAGACCATTCAGGGACTAGAGCACCTCTCCTAGGATGAGAGGCTCAGAGAGCTGGGACTCTTCAGCACGGAGCAGACAAGGCTGGGGGGAAATTCATCAGCATGTATAAAAACCTGAAGGGAGTATAGGAGAGGGAGACAGACCCTTAGTGGCTGCGGTTACCACAAGGGGCAATATGTACAAAAATACAAACTCCTTGCCAAAGCACCTTCTCTGTTGCATCCCACATCCATTTTTCTGAACCTTGTTCCCACAAGGTTCTTTTTAATATCCTCTAATTCCTGTATTGGAGGCCACAATCAACATTCATGGACCATCTGTGTTGCTCATCATCTTTTGGTAATGTCTGTAATTTCCCTTTCCATGATCTCCTCCCTTGGCTGAAGAATCACAGAATGGTTTGGGTTGGAAGGGACCTTAAAGATCATCTAGTTCCAGCCCCCTTGCCGTGGGCAGGGACACCTTCCACTAGACCACATTGCTCAAAACCCTTTTGTTTTGTGTATGAAGTTTCCATGCCTTTTTTGCATTTCTCTGATTCTTTTTCCACATCTGCTGTATCCTTTTTCAGATCAGGAAACCAGGACTAACTGCATAATTCAAGGCACAAGCAAATCAGAGATTTAAACAGTACCACAATCTGACTCTCTGTTTCTTCTCTAGTTATTCCTAATATCAGATGTGCTTTCTTGTCTTCTTCTGAACATTTAAACTGATGTTATCAGGACCTATCATAGTTAGTTGTGTGATCTCATTCACAAGCAACTGCTCAAATTTACTTTCTGACTCATAAAGTGGTTCATATAAAGGATATTTTAATGTAATGGCTAAATATGTGGCTGTTAAGCAGGAGGTGCTTCCAGTTAGTAGGATGAGGTTTTGCTAAAACAAAAGTTACTGCATACATGGATCTGATATAAAAAGTAGTGGATTGCAGGGCTATGCACAAGGCGGCGAACACACAGATGCCGCAGAGTCAATGTGTTTACATATAGGTAATACTGGAGGTCAGCTGCTGGTGTAGGGGTCTGACTCCTCTGTATATTTGTGCTCACCTGGCCTGTCATTGAACTTATAGCTACAGTGGTCCTAGAAAAATGGTGTTTAACCTCAGCCTGCAGTACTGTGCTGAAGCAAAGAGCCTACAAAGTGTCCTAACACCATGCACCAGGTGCTGTTCAGCCCACCGCAGCCTTGGAGGAGCAAGGTAACACTTGGTAGCACTGACAGAAACTCTCTTACTTTTGAATTCCCTCAAATTCTTTCTTGTGCCAGCATTCCTTCCAGGGTGCTCTCTTTACCTTAACTCCTCTGTATCCTGAGGCTGAGCTGGCCCCTGCCTGTTACAGAGCCATAGCGGCTCCAGGTCTTTCTCCATGGCTGGGTGCAGGGGAAGCACTCTGAACATCCACAGAGGTTGGAGGGAACTCTTCTCATGGAGGCTCCTGTTGGGAGCTAGCTGAGAGCAACTATGCTGAGGGGTTTCCTCTGGTTCTTTCCTGAAGCTAGAATCCCAGTAGCTTGGTCCAGGTTGAGGAACATCCTGAGGCTCAAGTGGGCTTTTCACTGCCCTGCTCTGGTGAGATTTGTGCACTTGTGCTCTCTGACATTTAGATTGTCAAGGACTGAGCCTGAAGAATGTCACTGGGAAGGGTGCTGGGTGTCTCAATAGACAAGCAGGGCCTGTGCCACACTCTCCTTTGGACAACAGTATTCCCAGATTTTGTCCCCCAAAGGCAGGGGTTGAATCCAGCCTTTAAGACTGTTTTCAGTGATTTATCATGTGCTACTTTTATCTTGCAATGTGTAGGAAGAATTTAAAGTCAATGACTACTCTGCAGCGACAGTCTCCTCTTTTCTGTGTGAGGGTTTTGTGGATGTAGTTAGTCAATAACGGCACAGTGCTGAGAAGAGAGGAATAGCCTTGCTTTTGTGCTCATGCTCTTTTCAGAAGCTCAGTTCTTTTCATTTTCTTCATTTGAGAGTTATGGTTAAACTAGAAAGCGGAGATTACTCCTCTTGCAAGAAAAACTGACACCTCAAACTGTGTTAAAGTTGAATTTTTGTGACCCATTACAGCCTGGATTACTTTACAGGTGAGATGGCAATACCAGATTTGAGTCCCACAATCAAAGTCTAGCAGAACTGGAACAAGAGGAATATTCTTAAATATATTGATACTGATTGATAGTGTATAATTTTATTATTCACTCATGGTTTTTGACACCATATGGCTTATTATTCGCATGTGATGTATTTATATTCATCTGAATGCTGCTGGTCCTTAGGGTCACTTGTTAAGAGTCTCTGGGGAGAACAGATTGGTTACATTTTGTATTGCTCACAAACTTTTCATATGCATGGTTTGACTTGTGAAGAAACTGCTTAGTGTTGTGTTTAAAAGAAGGCTGTGAGGCATCCACACTTCCTTGGCAGGCCTTACTTGTGCCTGTTGTCATATGTCTCTCCTAGTTTGTGTGGGCATCTAATTGTACCTGACTCACACCAATTGATGGACTGAATTAATGATTCAAAACATTAATGATGACAAGCATTTGCATCAGCTGGACCCATCAGAGCGTGCACATGTGAAAAAGTTCATCTCAGGCCTTCTTAAATGTGGGGATCTGCATAGGCAGGGACAGCCTATTTCATTATTACTGCTGGAACAGAAATCAGGAGGCTGAAATCCATGATGTGTCTGGAGCCCTCGCAACAGACACATACTGGTGCAGAGTTCCACTTGCCAGATGGAGATGAGTACTCAGCTCTGTGGAGGCAGAACGGTGGGAAGACAACAGGTAGCCTGGGGTCTGCCTGGGATTTCTTGCTCACCCAGGGCTGATCACAATGCAAACAACAGGCTGAGGGCATCAAAGACAAACTGCTGGTGGGAAGAGGTGCAGGAAACTTCCAGAAGAGACAGCAAAGCAAAGCAGGGGAAGGATGTGGGTTTACGTATGTTGATAAAAGAGGAAGTTATGAGACTGTAAGCATTAGGGTCAGTCACATTAAGGTAAAGAGAAGTGGTTAATGTGGATGGGTGAAATGGATTTTCTTTGTTGAAGATGGAAGCTGGGAGAGAAGGAGGAATCTGTTTGGTCATCTAAATGCCACATACTCAGTTGGACACCAAAATTTTAGCCACAGATGAAATAGCTCTACTGCAGATGAATTATCTCTAACTCCCTGATTGAAACGATTCAAGCACTTCCTTTCAAATTGCATTTTTCCTTCTTATGTACTCTATAACCTGTTTCCAGAAAGAAAATTTATTACACCAGTCTTTAATAGTTGAGTGTTACTTTTTCTAGCCAGCTGTTTTGGTTAAATCTTCCTTTTAGCAGAAAGATGGAACAATTAAAAATGAGTCAGTCCATGTTGTACTTTTTTTTTGTATCTTTCCCAGAAATGTTTAGTAGGGGTTGCTATAGGAGGCAGAATGCTGGACTCAGATCTAATTGTGTCAGAGGTTTCTGTTTTTGTAAGATAGGATAGTTTCCAATGCCCACTCTTAGATAACACCAACGTTATCCTAGTATTTTATCCAGAATAATTAAACAAACAAGCATCTGGAGGTGCTCTGATACCTCATAAAGCCAACAGGAAACCCTGTTTGTTTCCATTCAGATTCCAGTATGTTTGATACTACCTGAAAGTGGTGAAAGGATATTAATGATTTACAGTTTGGATATTTCCCTAGCAGTGGCTTTTACTTTCATTGCTTTCAAAGACTTGATTACATTTTTAACTATTAGTATACAAACTTCCTCCAAATTTCCACCTGATAAGATCAGCAATATTCATTAGTGAGGAAATTAACAGGCAATATTAAATATGCTAAAAATGCCCAGCTCCACCCTTCCTCTTTCTTTGTGTGTATCTCAGCTTACATTGCTCCCCAGTCCCTGCCGAGTCACGGCATTTACTTTGTACTGATACTGATACTTTCCACATTCCACAAGGGAGCAGTGATTTTGATTTCCTTGTTTTCTGATCAGAAGCACCACCACTGTTTTCCTGTAGGCAACACTGGATTTTTGCCAGATCAGAAAACCCCTCTTTTCCAAGTTATGATTGCACAGATGTTGTAAATGCAGGTGTCTCTGGTAACTTTTGAAGATCTTGATGCTGTCTTCTTAGTAGCAGTCCAGGTCCCCAGGGGATCTTGCTTTATAATGCAGCTGAATATTATAAAGATCTAAACCATCAACAGTATAAAATGAAACAATCAACTATGAGGATATAAATGAACATTTCAACTACCAGAGACTCCCAACTATGCAAATTTTCATTCCCTTCTACACCTTGTGATGGCCATATGGTGGCATAGGTTATTGCTGATCACTGGTGTATGATGTCCTGGGAGTAGTACAGCCCAGTATTTCAGGTTTAGCAGACCATTTTTAGAGGTAGGGTTCACAGCCGATGTTTTTTTCACTCCTACAAGCAAATAAAACAGTGGCTTTCACCTCCAGATAAAGGGCGCTGATAATACCAGCTCCAGCTCTCACCCTGCTCCTCAGCCAGCTACCACCACTCATGGCAGAGGGAGTGGGGAGAGACTTCCTCCTGCACCTTCTCTGACCTCCTGCTTATTGGTGAAGGGATGCTGTTTATCCCCACCTGCTGCTGCTACTTGTTTAAAAAGGGGACAAACCCAGACATTTTCTGAGTTTTCTTTCCTTGTTGTGGAGTTCAGCCTCCAGAGGTAGATAAAGCATAATTAAAACCTACCAAGTCATCAGACTTGGCACAAAACCAGGTGGAGCCTCGAAATTATGAAAGGCATTGTAAAAAAAACTGGGAAGCACTAACCTCAGGTGATTTTTTGTGATGATAAAAAGATGAAAGTTGGAAACACGTAACTGAAATATTATTTGGAGAGATGCAGCACTTCTGAAGTTAAATCAAAGCATCATGTTTGCTGTAGTTGAAGTAGTTAGTATTTGCCAGATTAGCTTGAGGTATTTTGATGTAGTGTGAAGATAACAGTGGCAAAGTGCACTTGCACAGGTAAAATGAGGCATACACACACCGAACTCCTTTCATAGAAATACACCATCAGCACAGGTCCTCTTTAACCTGCAAAATCTTACACTGCATTTTACTAATACCTTCTACAGATTATGTCAGAGGAGTGCTGGAAGTGATTTATTTTAGACATAACATGTAGTTACACTTCGAACTGCCTTATGACTCACCTGTGTCAACTTTGCATACAAAAACTGGGTGAAACTTGAACAACTGTTCAGCTGTATGAATTAACCTCATGGGCTGTTCCTGCTGTGGCAGCAAGATTATTTGTCAGCAGAATTTCTTTTCACAGCCCACTCTTACCAGAAGACAGCCCCAATTACTGAGCTAACCCGGTATGTGAAAACAGACGCTGTTTTGGAGCTGCTTGGTTACTGTGGAGGATAAATAGCTCCTGACCCTAAACAGGATCTTCTTGAGCAAAAAGCAAAGCGGTGTCCTTATGCCTTATAAGGCATGGGCAGGCTTACCCCAGCGCTGAAGAAGGGGCGCTAACGGGCTCGCGTTGCCGAGTTTTCCTCGGCAGCGGTCGCAGGCGGCTGGAGAAGTTGAGCTGAAACTGCAAACACTTGGAACCCGGCACTTAGGGGAGAAACGCACTCAGGAGAGGAGGCAGCAGGTGAACTTACAAAACCCCAAACCATCGCTGGATCATGGGGAAGTCAGGTGAGAAAATGCCCTCGTGGGGTTTGCTGCGCGTTCCTACAATGCCTGTGCCTGCGTTTGTGCTCAGGAAGCATTGCTAAAGCGTTAGTGGCTTTCCTCAGAGAAAGCTGCTTTCATTTTGCATGGTACAGCCCGGGAGGAGCTTTCTCTCCGGCACAGGGTGAGATTAGAAATCTGGTGGAAACGACACCCTCTCCCCAGCCTGCACAATGCAGAAGGACTTGTATTTTATATACAGCTGACCGTTTGTAACCTATAGTAGCTTTGCTGTATGAAATAATTATAAGCCCTATAGCTTCAAAATTATCTTGTGTCTGTCTGATAAAACTTACCTGCCTTGCAGATAGGCAGCGGGATGCTTGGGGGGGGGGGGACAGTTTTTATCACCCTTCTTGTCGGGAGTATTTAGATTTAAGGTTTAGTTACTGTTTAACCGAGGATGGCCTTGCTCAGCTCTACAGTCTCTCCCCAGCTGTGCACATACTCATGAAGCCTCTCCCTGCTGCTGGCTGCATTGTTGATCCTTTCCCCATTGCCGCTGGCTGGCTGTCTCAGCTGGGGGATACTCCTCCAAATCTGCCAAGGAGTCAGAGACCTTAAGAAGAGAGAGAGCTTGTGCCCAGGGCTTCCTCTGTCTTTCTCCTTTTAGAGTCATGAGTGAAAATCTGTGCTGATCTTCTGAAACGGACACGAAACTGGATGGTTTATTTTTGTTCTTGTGGTTGGGACATTACTTCTGTGACAGATCAGAGCCTGACGGCATATTGGCTGTCTGTCCTGTGTGTAAACAGCATGTATGGGACACACTGAGCAAGAGCTAGTACTTGATTCACTCAAAACCATAGGCCTCTTCAGAGAAACTTGAGGAAAATCTTTGTGCTTATAGCACTTTAATGAGCCTAAGCATGGGTGTGTTGAGCTTTTCTCCTTTTTCTTTTTTCCAGAGGGCAGCATCAGAACTGTCTGCAAATGTGGCTGTAAAGGGCTTACTGATAGGACACCCAGTCCAGGTGAAACACCCTGTAGCTGCCAGTGGGTGGTTTTGGCCCTGTGTCCTGGAAGCTGCATATGTTTTCAAGTGGATTGGGAGTTAGTAAATAACCTTACAATGATTTGAATAATTGTGGTTTCTGAGAAGTATTGAGTTCAGCCATTCCTTGCTAATAGCATAAAAACTACAACTGCAGTCTAGTGGCTGTATGTTACATTTGCAAAGCACATCAGGGAAAAGCAGTGTAGGTATTCCACTGTGCACATTCTGATTCCTAAATGTTTAAAATGTTAAACATGATTTGTCACTTGTGTCACTTTTCAGATCAGTGGTAAACTGGGCCCAGGTTCCTGGCTTTGAGCTGCATGCGATATTTTTAGGTGAATCGTAAAACTGAGATCCTGTCCTGACAATTGGTTTATTGACTAAACCCCATCTGCACTTTTGCACTGAAGTCTTCAAATTCCTGTCTGAGATCATTCAGTGTGGTTTGCCTTTGAATGGGTGGGAGCAGCTGTTTTACAGTGTACTGCTTCAGTGCCTCTTCCTGTGTGTTTTGTGTCAAACACCTTGTCACCTCATGTTCCTGCTGTAATACTCTTGAGGATATGGTGTGAGCAGGTTTCTCTGTACTAGGATGTATGGAAATGTAACGGGTTGGGATCTGTCTGACCTCAAAACAGAGTCCTTGCTCTTCTCCTGAGTCAGAAAGATTAATGGGGATTACTTGAAAGCATAAATTTAAGGATGCTCTAATTCATGTAAAGTGGGGCCACTATTTTAGAATAAATGTCTTCAGAGCAGTTATTTAACTTTTTTTCTTCAGTAAATCTATCTTGAGGTCTTGGTATCCCCAGGCAAAAAAAGATGCTGCTGCTGAAAAGCTCAGTTCTTTGGTAAAAGCTTGGTATGTGTTGTTACTAGACACTGGATCATATTTGAAACAGTGTTCATTGGAAGTATCAGAGCTAGAGTCTTAGCACTGGTTTTGTTTCACTGAATAGAGCTGAGTGTTGGAAGACATTTGTACCTCTGACTCAGCTTTCTTCCTTGGAAGCTGCCTGCTGCTGAAACCACATCCATACTGAAACTCCATCACCAGGTTTAGAAAAACACCTTCCATGTCTGTAACTCCTGCAAACACTTAGCCAGACAAGGGGACCTCCTCTGCCTTCCCCCTGTTCTTCTCTTTTTGGACAGCATTTGGATTAGTGGCTTCCCTCCTTGCAGATCCCAGAGAGCTCTAATGGAAAAGACTTGGACAAGTATTTTCTGCAGGAAATGAGGCGATGGTGAGCTGGCTGCTCTTTGTTGTGCTGTTGCTGAGAACACCGTGTTGGTAGGGCTGTGACCTCCCCTGCAGCTGTGCTCAGTGGCAGGCCGGGGTCCTGTGGCAGCCTTCACCCCAGAGGGGATATCTATGTGAGCAGCTGCGGGTGATGCTGGGGAAGCAGCTGCCTGCCAGCTCTACTCCTACGCTCTGGAGCGCGGGGATTTCTGCTGAGTGGCGGGAGTCTCCGAGAAGGCTGGGATGTGGCAGAAAAGGGCTGCTAAAAGTCTCACTTCTTTGCTTCCTGCTGCTTGCTCCCTGAAAAGCAGCTGGAGGTGACAGCAGGGGACTCGCCCTGTTTCTGGGTGCAGGCGCTATCGGACAAAGACGGGGATGGGTTCAGTAAATACTGGCTATCTTTTCACACTGTTTGCTTTGCTTTTTCTTTTCCCACTTTTGCAAATGTAGGTGGGACTCCAGAGAAAGGGCTGGGAGTTTCCCACTGTGCTGCTGTTGAGTCAGTACAAAAATAAGGGCTGAGAAAGGGTTTGACGAAAAGGAAAGAGACAGGAACCAAACTCGGTGCAGATTTCCATGCTGGTTTTAATCTTTCTTAGAAGCATGTGCTGGTTTTTAACTCTTCAGATGCACCTTCGGACCACAGTAAAAAGGGCTGTTGTGTTTTCTGTGGAGCGAGCTGCACTTTCAGCTGATCTGAAGTGCAGACTTGTACTTTAGCATCTTGGTAGGAGACAGCTGTAGCAGCTCATAGCAAAAGTACAAGTATATTAGAGAAGTGACCTGTTTGCCTTCTGAGAAAGGCAATACTTGCAAGCTGCCAAAATGACAAGGCGTTTTGTGCTGGCTGGTTTTACAGGACCAGTGGGGATAGAGGAAATGAATTAGTCTAAGCTGATAGCAACCGAGCATTTGTGTTTGGTAACAGTGGGGCATTTGCAGAATTTGTCATCAGTACAATTTACTGGTGTGGTCGGAAAAAGGCCTTTCAAAAATCAAGTTAATTCCGTTAAAAAACCCACACTTGACCAGTTTTTGTGTGTAGAAGACACTGATTATTTGGTATATGCTCAAGGCAGATGCATACCAAAAAAGTATGAAGGGCTCACAAAGAAAAAGATGGAATGTGATGATCTGTAGTAAAGGAGATACCACTCAAGGTTTCCCATGCCATAGAGTTGCACATCAAAAAGCATCAACTCTCCTTTCTGAATTCTCCAAGAAATCTTTCTCAAAAGAAAAATTAAGCATCAAGAAAGCTTTTATTACTGGAACCACTCAAACCCTTAGTTCTCTATCAGTACAGTTGGTAGTGTCTATCTTGCCTAGATTTGAATTTGCCTCAGTTGCTGCTGTGTATTCAAGAACAAAAAGAAAGGGGAAGTAAGACTCTTCATTGTAAGTACTTTGTTGTTTATTACATATCTCATCAGGCCAGAAGGCTATTTCAGATCACTATTTTGGTAGAGGCTGTGCTGTTCTCTGAAAGATTAGCTGGAGCATATCTGTGTTATGTTTTTGGAGGCAGATGCCTGGTTTTTGAAGGTCTGATAGCAGCTCTGCCAGATCTGGGCTGGGTGACCCTGTGGAGGGGGACCAGGCAGGTGGCCAACCCCTCTGGCTCCTGTGCGAGCAAGTATGAGAGATGGTAGTAGTGGAGGAAGAAAACAGGGACCTGTTTATGGCCACCGCAAACATTATTTAGTATCATTCAAAGTTGACTGAACTGGGTTACCAGAGTGAATCTCTGATTTGAACAGAAATCATGTGGTCTTTATCTGGTCTCCAAGCAAAACATGATCTTTAAGCATAATCGTTGCAGAGCTGCATGAAATGGTGAGTTAATTGTCCTTCTGAAGCTTTGCCAGGCCACTATTGTAGGTGGGATGTTTGGGAGCTATTTTCTAACACAGATTGTGTGGGCTGTCCCTGAACATATACCTGTGTGTCACTAAGCTGAAATATTGTGGTTGCATGTTGCTGAAGTCTCTAATCCATGTTGTAAATTTAAACGCCGGGCACAAGGAACTGTTTTCCATGAGACAGCTCTGATGATAGTTTGTGATAGACAGATGTTAAGAAATTATTGAATACATGCTTGCTTGTATCCTATGTGTGTGTTTGTCACGCTTCTAAATACTGCAGGCCATTGGTAGGTGTTGGGCGCTTAATAAGTGATCCTCAGAAAGTGATTTGGGGTGAACTGTCATAGGGAATAATCCATTCTTGAACTTTCCCTGATGAAGACCCATTACTAAAACAAATCTTTCAGCTTAGAATCACAGAAGGGTTCAAGTTGGAAGGGACATCTGGAGGTTGTCTGGTCTAACTCCCCTGCTCAGTCAGGACCACCTAGAGGTGGTTGCCCAGGACCATGTCCAGATGGCTTTTGAATATCTCCAAGGATGGAGAGTCCACAGCCTCCCTGGGCAGCCTGTGCCAGCGCTCTGCCACCCTCACGTTGAAAAAGCGTTTCCTGGTGTTCAGACTTTGATAGCTTCTGGATCTTCCATAGCCTCACTGTATGAGGACTTCCAGCTGTGTGGAGTAAATTGCCCTGAGCTACCCCAATGGCAGGTCACAGGAGGGGATGTCCATGACGCAGTGTTGTAGGTGTTTCATTGACTTTCTGGGGTTTAACATACTGGGGAGGGGGATCAGAAAGATGATGTAATTGATAGTAAGTATGGGTAAAGAAAGCTTTCTGTGTCTCCCTGCCTG